GTAGCTAAGATGGCTCTATCCAGCAGTCACAGTATCACTTTTTCTTTACTTGAAGAATGATCTGATGGGACATGGACCTGCGCATAGACTTTTGGAGTAGATTGGTGTAAGAATTATCCTTGTAGCACCAACCAATACTGAGATACACACCGACAACTGGATTGACAGGACTTGATGATGATGAAGAAGATGATGAAGATGAAAAAAGGTGGCTGAACAAAACGGCCAGTTCGCTGATTTTTGAATTTCCTCTTAGACAGGGCCTAGAGCCACGCTAGTGGTACCATTGGAGTCCTCTGGTCAAGATAAGGTCCTCTAAGAAGTCTGGTAAGCATAGGAGCTCGTTTTCCCGGTATAGCAAGGCTGCAAAAGTCGTGGCAGCCATTTTGTTTGGGGGTGAATCCTACTTAGTAACGCTAGCGCGTTACTAATAGTACAGGGTGTTTGGCCCGATTTTTGATCAACTTTAAAAATTCATAAAAAATCCAAACTTGATCGGAATCAGCTCAAACTTTTTATGCAACATAAGAACATGTATGTGTATCAGGAAAAAATATTAAAATGGTAAATTCTCTCCTTGCAATTTTTCATGAAATTTGGCCAAAATCCCTGTACTATAGTACATGATGTTTGGTCTGATTTTGGAGTTTTTTTGTATGTAAATGTACATGTATATACATGTCCACGATTTGGGAATTTTTTTGCATTTTGGAATTATATTTAGATTGTACTGATTGTAGGTAGAGCTGAGAGCTATTACAAGTTATCACTGCTAGCCATCAATAATGTACTGGACTCCAAAGCTGTCTCCTATGTATCACTCGCTTTTATTGATCTATCCAAGTAATATTATTGTTAGTTGTATAATTATTATCATTATTTATTATTATTATTATCGTTATTATTATTTATTATTATTATTATTATTATTATTATTATTATTATTATTATTATTATTTTTCCAGAGCAATAAAGCTAAAACCCTCATTCATTAGTCTGTGGAAACTGATTGGAGATTCTTGTCTCTCCTTATATGGCATTGCCGAAACTGTCGCTAGGTAACACCACGTGGCCCCACCCATTTTCACAGCATTTCTCTACACAGCATCAGTGTTCCTTCTGAATTGCTAGGCAACAGCAAGGGATCGGAAATTATTGGTAAAAAGGCTTTACTTGAACTTGGGCTAAAGTTAGTTAGAGTCGATTTATTTGATAATAAACTAATGATGTTGATATTTTGTGTACTATAGATCATACAAGTGTAGCCTTCATTTGTGTGATGGCAAATCTCCTTATCTTCTTCACAATCTTGCACTTAATTATTACCACCTAGCAGAGGTAAACAACAACAACAACAACTAAGCAAACAAATAAATAAACAATATGATGTTAGGTTGAAGACGATAAAGATGTCTCAAAAGAATATTTAGAAATCTCATTAAAAGTATTTATATTGATATTATTTTAAATTATTAATGTTTTACGTTTTAGTTGATTAAAAATGCAATCACTCTATCACCGAGAGGTCACACTCACTGGAACGCCCTCGGAGTAATAGCAATGCACTCTAGTAAGTGAACAATCAAAAATTATTCTTCTAACCCCCTCCCTCCCTCCCCTCTCTCTCTCTCTCTCCACAAGTTCTCAAGGATTATGCTTTGGCTCAGCATTCATTCATTTCTTCGTTAAAGATTGAACCAAACGTATGCCATGTGGCTATCACATGATACTTATTGATTGATATTATGTGTAGAATGCAGTAGTGTGGAGTAACCTTGGTGCACTTTACCTCATCAATGACAATGTTAAAGTAGGAGGAGAAAGAGGGGATATGCTTTATTAATTTATTTATAGTTGGCTCATTTAGGAAATATATAAATGAAAATTCTCTCATAGCAATTTTTGCAGCTCATTTCATGACAAAATTATGTTGTGGAGCAAGTTGAAGCTGCTTCCGACCAAAATGTACAATATTTGGCTGTGGGTCTGGCCAAAAAGAGTCACTTAGAGTAGTAACTGAGTGTAAATATGTAAAGCTTTCATACAGAGAGTGAGATAGTTGTGTACACATTGTTGTAATTGTTGTATGTACGAAGAGCCATTT